TATATACCTGGTGTACTCTTCTAGACAATCGGCTAGTGAGTATGGGCGACGTCCAGCGCCTCCGCCAGTCATTGCCGAGTAGAGATTGCCCGCAGACATATCTTCTGCAAGCTTCTCCAACGCTTTAGATTCCTCTTCATTGGTGGCCAGAGTGCTGAGACCTAAATGTGTGTGTGTGTTAATGTGTAAAGCTGAGTGTACTATGTCTGGTGCATCTACATGCGGATACGACAAATACATATGTGTATGTGCGCCATGATCGCCTTGTCTAAGTTCACTTTATATACATGTATACGTACGTGTGTGCATCCAAAGCCCACACCATCACTCCGTGTTCGAGTTTGCACATAAGTACAGACCCATCGCACATCCTTCCGCACATACCTTCCAAGAACGAGCGTGTGGGGGGTGCGGCTATGTCGAGGTGCTTAGCCAGCACGTCCCGTACACTGATCCCTTTGCCAGTGGGCAATCCCTTTGCAGCAGCTGTCTCTTCGAGACTGGTGATACTCACAAGGTCATCCAGAGCCACGCCCAAGCGCTGTAGTGTGCGTGATGTATGAGTTGTGAGAATATATATACATATATATATATATACCAGGTCCAAGATCCACAACCACACAGCACGAAATCACGGAATACAAATACAAATGACCAATATCTAATCTCGACTTCAGCACGACAAACTTATACCACATGAAGTATCATTGTCAATCATGTCACGTACATTTGACTACACCATCTGTTATGTCTATATATATATGTGTGTGTGTGTTTGCGAATGCCAGTAGTACAGCTAATCACCATCTCCTACCTTTGCCATTCGCTCGACTAGTGCAGTCTGGTTAAAGGGTGCAATGGACACGTGGTCAGTGAGCTTGTAAGTCTTGCCGGCTGGCAGAGAGAGTGTGATATGGTGCACGGGACGTTCGTGTCCTGCAGGTGTCAGAGTGATGTTCTCCACGACCTAAGTGGGACAAAACGAGTGTGTGTATGTTAGAATGCGGACTTATACAAAATGTTTAATAGAGTGAATGATTAGAATGTTCTGTAAATAGCTGTACAGGAACGGGGGGGGGGGTAGAATGACAAAAAGATGTAACATGATAATTGACAAGAACAGGTTCGAAAGCACAACTATAAATAGCAGATGAGGAAAGGTAAGTCACAACATCAAGTTGCTTCACATCATGTCAAAAGTGTTTATGTTGATAACTACAAATTGAACCGTGTCTGGATGAAAGTAAGCCCAGGAAGGCTTTGGTTCGCACCTTAGCTACACAATCCTGCACATGTTGTGTGGCACCCATATATATAATCATTGCATATATACCTTCATAGTATCAAACGTCGTAGGGATCTCCGTTGCAGAGGCACTGCTGGCTGCTTCCACTTTGTAGTGCTTGGGTAACGACATCTTCATGTTGGATCCGGTGAGCTTAACCCTAGAAAGACATAATGTTGACTCAAAATTAGTACAGGATATATTATGCAGAATAGGTGTCCGGGAGGTAGATAGTGGTACTGGAAGAAGGCCATTGCGAGCACTATATGCTTTTCGGTACAGTTGAGTACCAGTTGATATGCCTATGTGCGCCGGTGAGTTTGGGTGTGTTCTAAGGCTAAATATCAGATGCAGCTCTGTATGAACAAGCGTGATATTCTAAAATGTTCTGCTGTTTTTTGTGTATGAATCTTAAAATGCAACAACACTCAATTAAACTTAGTTTAGGCCGATTACACCCACCCACCCCAGTACACATACCACACACAATTTAAAGCAGCAATCAACAGGCACTCAAGCTGTATACACACGCCTTCACTTCAAAATAACTAACACATACGCGCATTGCCCACACACGACACGCTCTCACATACCACACACAACATACACGACACACACAGCACAAATTTTGCTTCAACATACCACACGCTCTTCATCCAAGGTCGGAAGGCCGTCTCGTGACCCGCCTCCGCATACTCGTCACTGTACACGGGGGGCACTATCTCTTCCCCACCTAACTTAGTCATCTGCGCTGAAAGCTCCTTAGCGGCTACACAGAAGTTGTTCTTGGTGGTGGAATTGCCCAGTCCAAAAACGCAGAACTGGGTGTCCTTGAATGAGTCCGAGGTAGACTGCAGATACTTCCAGAGGGTGCGCATGTTGTCGGGGAACTCTCCGTTGTCTAGAAAGTGCGCATTGTTTTAAGGTTGTTAGCAGGTATCGGATAATTCAAAGCGAAGTGTAATATTTGGAGCTCGTTGAGCTAAGATGTAGAGTTAGTAAGCGCTGTTGTTCGTTTGTTTCGTTCCCTAGACGCTGCTCTATAGACATGTGACTTTCAGAACTTAGAGCCCTAAAACATATGAATATTTGTGTCGCGCTTTCCCTACTGCTGGGATACATGCCTGCACATCAAGTTGCATCATAAATATCATTGCCAATAAAAAGCTATAAAAATACAAGAAAACCGATTTTAAGTATGTGATGTACATACAAAATGTGGACGTGAGAAAGACGATAAGCTTCTCATCCTTAAGTTTAGATGGCTCGATGGCATCTCCTGAGACCAGGCGCACGTTGTCGATTCCACGCATCTTGGCAAACGACAGCACGATCTGTGCAAAGGACTCGGTCGTACCTGGTAAAATGGAATACAGATATTCGATTGATATTAGGGAAATGCGGGGCTGTCTCCTTCGGTATTCAATATCACCATGTCTATGATTGCAAGCGCTGATGTTCTTGAATCACGACATACTTACCGGTCTGAGATCCGAAAACGATCAACATGGCGAGTTAATTATGTTACAGGGATATCTGATGTAAAATGTTAGTCAGGTTTTTTAGTACGAGTAATTGAGTAATGAACAAGAACACTGCTTGCGACTACTCAATGCTACGTGTATGGTGTGCCCTGTGCAGGCTTGACCTGTTTTTATACACTATATTTCGGACTACTACGTACTGTAAACACCTGACAGGCTGACACTTTGATGTAGAGCAGAACCAACATAAACAGTTGTCAATAGCCGGTTTAAAAAACCCCTAACGTAGATAGCAGCCAGCCTCTCTCTCTCTCTCTACTAGGCTATCAAGCTCTCTGCTCAACTTTTGTGTACGTATTCATAATTCACCTCGCGGGCTCGAGGCTAATCAGTAAATCTCAATACGTTCTGCGTCAGAACGTATATATAAAAATATATACGTTTATGTTCAATACCCATATCGAGATGATACTCTTAGAATGCCAATATGGGTGCATATTCAGTGTCCTTACTGGCCCTTAGGGTTCACCATTTCCACTGGTTTCGTAGAATGTTCGTTCACACATATCGGATATATTTGTATATGTCGATAATTTTTTATACGTTGGCGGTTGGATCCGTTATAACTTATAACGTTATATAAATTAAATAAATTAAAAATTCAAATGAATAATCAGGTTTACGTTTAGTTTTTTTTAACTTTTTTTAATCAGCGGCTTGCGCGGTAGAATATTTGGAATGTTCGTTTTGATGTTTTCTGCTCTGTATCAGTTGTATTTTTGATACTTTTTTTTGCAATTGGGCTATTTGTTTAAAAAATAGATCCCGGCGGTTATAAGTCAGCATTGGCTTTTAAAAAAAATAGTTCGTGAATTTTCCGGTTTCCTTTTTTTTCCCCAGCAGAGAGAAAACATTCCGGTTATTTATTTTGTTTAGGGTTTTAGGGTTTTAGGGTCTATTTTTTTTTGTTTATGAATTTATACATGTACAATTTTTAATATAAAAAATCTAAATATTTGTCAATGCATGTGATTCAAAAAACAATTGGGGGGCTCTAATAATATACTACTAGCCCTATGTCCTGATAGCGAATGTCTGGCCAATGGCTGCCGCTGTACCCTCTTTATGGACTACGGACTCATGGAGAAGGATTTTTTATAATAAGAGCAAGCTCTCACGATTGAAGCGACTGATTCGCCTATCAGTATTTCAGGGGGAGAGAATGTGGAATTCAGGAATTGTCAATTGTAAATCCTCCTTAGAAATTGTTTTTAGCAATGTTGTTGATTGTTTCAAACTTTCAATTTTAGTTTTTACCAATTTACATGTAGTTGTTCACTGTTCTGAGAATCTGAGTGTTCACAGAAACCGCGCGCTGCGGACTGCGGACTGCGGAACGCCGAACGCGTGAACTTTAGAAGATAAAAAAAACTCTGATAAAACTGGATTTTATCATAGCTTTTATCTTCCACAATCCACACTCATCACTCATTCACGTAGATCATTCTTTTGTATCCTTTCCCTTTTTCCTTTTTTTAAAAAATAGATAAGAGAAATAGTATCAGAGAGTTCAGAACTTCAGACTTCACTTCAGACTTCAACGTACGAAGAAAATTCTGCCGAAATTCTATAGATTGTCTAGGCTTCTACCGGTCAAAATACATCGATTTTTCTATGTGGCGACTCCTGTTACTCTTTAAAAATACTACATATGACTTGTGTGCTGATGAGTGATGAGCCTCAAAAAAGTAGGTTGCCTATTATATGACTTCTGAAGTTCTGCAACACAAATAAATGATCCGTTAAACGTTTAAAATTAAACGTATATTTCCATTTCAGTGTCCCGTTTATATATTAGTACAGCATGGCCAAATTCCTGGTCAGACCAAGATTTTGTCCTAACGACATATTCTGATATTAATCATCGAGACCAAATTTTGAAGAATAGGTGCACTATTCAGGTCACAATATACAGGTCACAATATACAGGTCAAAGTATACCAAAATACGTTACAACGCTAAAAAAAATCAATAAACGTTAAAAGTCAACCTATATATACGTGACGAGGAGGTTTACTTCTGGGTTCTGGCACATACATATTTAGCCTTCTAAAATTGAACCCCGGCTACAGTTCTAGCCTCTTGTTGTGCACTGTGGTTGCAGATGTCTATTTTTTTTTTGTTTCTAAACAAAATAGCCGCCTATTTCATTTTTCAAACTGAAGGTTGGTGAATATAAAAAAATTATAAAACCAAAGAAGAAAAGAACAAACCTGTAAATACTCTTTAAAATAATAATATTAGTGAGTGGCAGCCTGGCAGGCGCCAAGCGGTATTTAAATTTTTTTAAATAGTGTCAGTAACTCAGTGAGCCAGTGACAGCGCTTGCTTTGAGGGCTTGGGGCTTTATTGGCTTGGGGCGCTCGGGCGCTCGGGGTGTGCTTTGCGGGCAAAGGTTTTTATTGAACGAAACAGGACTCAAAGTGAGGTCTTGCCTTCTGAAGTGTTCGGTGGCTGCAGTTTCCAGCCATCGGCGTCAGTGTGCACAGTGCGTCAGCAGTGAGCGGTTACTACTAGTAGTGTACTAATAGTATCTAGAGAGAGAGGAAGAAAGAGAGGTCTCAGTTACATAAATATTAGCACATGCACAGGACACCACTATAACACTGGCACCTGATGTATAGGAGTTTTAAAAATAATACTTCCGTATCTATTTTTTTACCCTTCATATGTTCTATAATACTTCTAATCATTTTTTTTCTTCTAAAAGCAATATTCAAATTTTTATTTGCCAATTGCTGTGCGCCGAATTGTTGGGCTATGCAACGAGACACTTGTCACACTTTTCCGCACTGGCAACTTCAGGTGCCAACTGCAAATGCATAGGGCAAGTCATAACTACAACTACTTACAACAAGTCACTACTACAACTACTGCACGTTAGTACGACAAGTCACAACTAGTACTGCACGTTAGTACAATAAGTCACAACTAGTACTGCACGTTAGCGTGACAAGTCACAGCCAATACTGCACGCTAGTAGGACGAGTCACAAGTACCACTGTACATTAGTACGACAGGTCACAATTACTACTGCACGTTAGTACGATGAGTCAAAAATACTATGTACTGCACACTAATAGTACGACAGGTTGACACAACTACCACTGCACGTTAGTACGACAAGTCACAACTACTACTGCACGTTATTACGACAAGTCACAACTACTGCGTATTGTTTTCTTACTTCGGAAGTTTATACGGGTTACAGAAAGGTTATGTTCACCGTTGAGAACTTGTGACTTTTCATCACTACAAGCGAAACCTAAGAGATCCCTCCAAGCTTTATTTGATTTTGAGGCATCGGGTGATCGTAGTCTCGTACCCAGAGAAACAGCTCAAGATTACCAGACCCTCTGCAGACACGGACACGGGATCCCTTTATAGTTTATTCCCTCCCCAGGGGCCCGACACGGGGATTTGAGATTTCTTATTTTTAATTATTTTTGTGCCGCCGGCGCCACAGGGTCTTGACTCGTGATTTCTTGAGCAGTTTAGCTTCGCTATAGCATATTTGCTTGTTTTTTCAAAACAAATAAATAACATATTTAAAAGTATGTATTTGATTGTTTTTTTAAACAGAACATTTTTTTTAAATCCATAAAAATAGCTCTCTTTTTGTTTTTAAAAATATCAAAACAAAAGAACAGCTATTTAAATATGACTAAAACTGTATTTAGAAGGCTATGGCTATAAAACCCATGAATTTCAGGAAGTTTAAAAAGCTTAGAAAACCTGAAAAGCTCGTACTCGTCCATATTGAGTAATAGCTGCCAGTCACCTCCGCTGACACACATCTAAATGAGCTCATCGGGGACAAGTGATGGAACACATGAAGGCAACTGTCGACATAGCATACAACGGCAGCATCAGCATCAGCATATCCCGCCGCTATGCTTTTGTTTCAAATGGTATTTTACCGCAACTGATGCCATTTTAAAAACTACCTTATCTACTCAGCATATGACAGTCTCGGTACACTCTCGCTATGCTTGCGTTTAAGATGGTATTGTACCATTTTATCCAAGCCGTATAGCGTGTACAGTCAAGACCATCGTGAAGCTCTGTGTGTATGTATGTTCTCTCCTGGTCACCGCAACTAACTATTATTCTAAACCGCCCCATAAACTCAGAATACAACGGCCAGCATACCCCCTCGCTATGCTTGCGTTTTTAAGATGGTACTGTACCAGTTTATCCAAGCCGTGTAGCGTGTACTGTCAAGATCGTGAGGCTCTGTATGTAGGAATGTTCTCACCTGGTCACCGCAACTGACTGATATTTTAAACGGCCGAAGAAATTGGAAGATTGCAAGCGCGCCAACTGCCGAACTACTAAATCCCTAAATCCCATACCCTAACGCCTATAATCGGGGATGTACTGTACTTCGGTCGTTCTATACTGTACATTAGTTGAGTAAATAAGTCTTATAAAAGTAGGAGTGAAGTATGAACCATAGAGTAGGTAAGTCTTATAAAGGTAAAAGGTAAGTCTGAACCGGATCTACCTATGCATATACTGCCTTCCTTGAGCGAAAGCTATGCCTGGACGTGCAGCGACACTCGAGGGTAAGTCAATAAACCCCTTACTGTGCCACTCAGGACTTTCCCAGGGCTCTACAGCCGTATCTCCTTGTCACAACTACTGAGACAACAGTGTACACCGTCAGCAACACCGCAGTCCATTTCACACATAATAGCACGTGCTCGAGTGCTATAACGTCCGCAGGTAACAGGGCTGTGCGAATCACCTGCTCTATTTCGTCAATGTCCACGATCTGATTGCGCGACCTGTTGTATCCGTTGGGATGGATGTGTTGGATTATAGGCACCAAAAGAGGAGAACACAACACTTTGATGTTAAGGCTCATAGGTACCACTCACTCACCCACACACACACAGCACTTTAGCGTAAGGCACACAGGGACCACTCACCCACCCACCCACCCACACACAAACACCTTTGCGTTCAAAAACACAGAGACCACTCGCCCGCACATACACACACAGAGCACTTCAAGGTTATGGCACACAGGTACCAGTCCCTTTTCCACACACTCAGAACTCTAACGTTAAGGCTCACAGGTACCATTCACCCACCCACACACAGCACTTTAACGTTAAGGCTCACGGAAACCACTCACTCACCCGCACACACAGCATATTTGCGTTAAGGCTCACAGGTACCACTCACCTGTAGAAGTCGAACTTTCCTTCGCTGTGCTGAGAGCGATAGGTGTGCAGTGCACTCTGCGGATGGGTGTTGATCCAGTGGTGATAGGCAATGCCAAGCGCATACATTAAGTTACGATACCCCCTGCGTAGGTATATAGAGATATGCAATCTGTAAGTTAGTATGGCAATGATGACTCATACATGAGGTTGCTATACCTCCTGAGTGAGTGTATGGCGATATGTCGATCTTGCAGTAGTTCTGGAGAGAGAAAGGACTACAACTGTTTGTTATTTAGCTACGGTTTCCTCATAAGATACCCGTTGCTTTGATGGCGATTCTCTCTGGTACAAGGCATGTGCAGGTTTGTACACTATCTAGTAGATACACCTAAATACATATATCTATTACCCAGCATATATACATAGAAGTACCATAGCCGGTCGGAAGTCCCGAACTGCGATTGCTATTATCTTGTCCTCATGTCCCATATTACAGCTAACTTGTATTCTAATAGTCATCAAAACACAAATAAACCAACGAATACTGCATTCACCCAGAATCAAAGCAGCGATTACTAACCATCAGCAGACCATTCGCACTGCTCAATAGCTCGGTTGACACTGGTATCGACTGTAGAGACCTGAGCCTAGGGCTTTGGAATTTGGGTTCTGCCCTGCCCTGGACGGTCCGGAAATACCGGTACCGCAAACAGCAATCAGGACAGGGCAGTCATGCACCCTGCCCTACCGTCATATAATCGGTCTACAACTACTCAGGTTTATGTTACAACAACAGAGTATGTCACACAAACTGTGATGAAGAACCACACACCCGCGTCTAAAGCACACACCACTTGTGGAAGCCGTATGTTTGCAGCTCAATAACCTTTGCGTCTCTGTGTAGCCATAGTGTGTTGGCCATTCCAGCGCCATGCATGCCAATGAAAACAGACGCCTGCCTGGTACGGATGATCTGCGCCGGAAGAGTTTAATGGGGTGCGAAGGGGTGAGAAAGTATTAGGCAGATATCTTAACACAAACACGCATATATATATATCAATGTATTTATGTACGTGCGTGTGTACAAGTGCTTTCTATCAATAGCCATACCTTCACGGGACCGGCATGATGTATACGCCACACTGGGCTGATGTATTCAGTGTATGTATTGGCGTACACAAACAGCATCCAACACAACGTACGCATACATGAACCATAGAAATGCAGTGGCTGGTACAAGCGCATTGATTGTTCAGTAAATGTTGTGGTGGGGTATTGTCTTGTGCTTAGCCAGTATGTTCTGTAGAGAGATGACGCCACTAGTAAACCATGCCATTCCTACATACCGTAGATACGTTTGTGTTCTCTAATACCTAGGATAGTTACTTATTACTCCATGATTAGTATCGGTAGTTACAGTTATGAACTGAATATCACGGATGCTATTTTATCCTTGAATACAATTCCAAAATATCATAGGTAATTACTATTTTATTCCTAAAAGTCGATTGCTACTGTTGTATAGCTCAATATCATGGATGAAGAAATTCAAATCCGTTAGTACTAATAATAGTTGCAGAGAATATATCGAATCATTGTTAGTCTCGGTGCAGTTAGGGATCTGCGCTTGAACGTAGTGCATGACGACCTCTACAATTGAGGGCACTGCTGGTAAAAGCCATATCATACAAATATACAACAGGACACACTGTATATGAACCATGTAAAACATGTAATAAAAATAATATATATATATATAAGGAGTATATGAACCATGTAATACATTAACAAAAACATACAATACATATAACAGGACACAAATGATTCTTATATATTAAACATACACTGTATTGTACATAAATAAAAGGACAAACATACAGCTTCCCCTATAGAATGCACACATATACTTGTTCATAGCTACTGATGGTCGCAAAGTCAACCATGTCAACATCCAGTCCATATCGTTCAAGCAAACGCACTATTTCTTCCTGCGGGAAGCACAACAAAGAGAAATAGTAGTGATATGAAAGGATGAGCTCAACAGTATATA